GAAAAGGTAAGAAATTTTCGGTTCATTAAGTCGTATATATTTCTTAACATAACCACAGCTGGGCCTCGTCAGTATGACGGTTGTGAAATAAGTGTAAATTTGTTTTTAATTTTAAATAATTAAGTTATGTTAAAATTAAGTTAACCATAGATACCGCTGCAGTCCTATCTGCACACTACGCAATATGGGCCCATTACAGCGGGAGCCGCAGGAGATATTTTGGTATTCTCATCAGCAATTTGTTTCATCGCCGCGTTTCTTCTTGCGATTGATGCAGCTGGGTATCTTCTCCATTCTTCTTTGCTTCAAGACTATTTCACTCGCACAATAGATGTTACACCTGTCCATAATTTCGACGGCCTTTTGGTACTCTCATTAAGCAGTCTCTGTTCCTCTTGCGGAGTTTACCAACTTACACTCATAAATTATGTATTGGACGCGGCAGTTCCGCACTCTCAAAGCTCACTTTCTCAATCTACAGATTCCTCCAGACTGCCACCGGCATTAATGTTTTGTAATACTCGTTCCAAATAGGTGCATCAAAGAGCACGAAACCGGAATATAACCAAAAGAAACATGTGATAAGGGAACTGAGGAATCCAGGAAGAAGTGCTGATCGATTTCGAGAACGATTGCAAACGACGAATCATGCTCTGTTGTGGCCAGTGCAAGGACGATGGATCCATTCGGTGACCGTGATGATGACGATGACACAGATAACGGCGGTGATGACCGTTGATCGGCCACTCGAGAGTGTCCTCGATCAGGTAGCTGATAACCGTAAGACGCATATTCAATCCATTTGCAAAAGACTATGGCACAGACACAGCAAGTGGACTGGAAGACCTATGGACGAGGAGCAAATGGAGGTGAATAAGGAGGAGGAGGAGGAGGAGGGACAGGAAAAAGACAAGTGAGGTTTCGGGAACAGCAGCCCAGAAAGAGATCAGTGAAGAGATATGCAGCGTTTTTTTTCCTCTGTGTTTTATTTGTGTACTGTTTGAAATTACTGGTATACTATTTG